CAGTTATGGATAAATTGTGTTTTCACAAGCACTTTCCCTGTCCTGATAAATTCAAGATGACCAATGTTATAATAAAAAACAATCTTATAATAAATAAAAATTATTCTGAGTTTACTTCTTAATTTCACTGGCAATCTTGTTCTTAGTCTTCCCTTATCATATTTATTTCCGAAAAAAAATGCTATTTTGTCTGAGGAATTGTTTGAATGTTAATAACCCTTCTCAAATCTATAGAAAATACTACAATATTTTATCTTATCTAGGAATGTGACCCAATTATTCTCATTTAACCTCCTGTTTCTTTTTTAATACAGGTTCTTTGCATATCTCTTTGAATATTTTTCGGGTAGCATATATTGAAATACCTTATTAATACTCAAAATTCTATATTGCCCACCAAAATTTACAACCGCCCATCATTTTCTGTTCAGTTACTCATCGCCTACCCAACAGATGAACTCGCCCACCGGTGAGCGATATCGCCCAGGTTGGGAAACTCTAGTCTAGCAGAAGACAACCATTGCGAAGTGCACAGTGAGGATCTACAACTGTACATCATTAGCAATGGTCAGTGGAAAGTCTTTACTAAACATTTTTCCACATCGGAATAGTCATGTAAATCAGGAATCTCTACCAAGTGCTATCACGCAAAAGTTTGGGGAAGTCGAATAGAATAATTTATTCATCTGCCATCTTACGCAGCGTTTCTCGTGTCTCGCCGGACATTTCAAGCATGTCTCAAAATCGTTCTAATAGGAAAAAAATGAAACTAATTTTGTATCGATTTTTTCATTTTTTGGGGGGAAGCTATTTCGCTTTTAAAACTTCGTAAATTTTGGGAAGCAACACGTATCTAGCGAGCGACGTGATTGAAGGATGTATATACGAGTAAGTGCAAAATGGTTTTCCTTTTGACCCATCTCCCAATATCCGAGCGTTATTTTCTCATTATAGATGAAAAGAATATTCTTTTATAACATAGAATTATTTAAAATGAAGCATTTAACCCAATTATAATCCAAGAACTCTTGGATTGGCAATTTTTAGTCCCCAGTATATATATTTATAGACCGGAATAATGAAAATGGTTTCCCTTGGGTCTCATTTGACGGGTTATTATAAATTATCTTATGTAGGAATGGCACCCAATTATTCCCATTTAACCTCCAGGTTCTTTTTAATACAGGTTTTTTATATATCTCTTTTGAATATTTTTTTCGAGCAGTATATGTTGATATACCTTTTCTTAATACTCAAAATCATCTATATCGCCTACCAAAATTTCCCCATCACCCATCATTTTCTATTTACTTTCTCATCACCCATCCAACAGTTGAAATCGCCCACTGTTGGGTGTATCGCCCAGGTTCCTAAACACTGAGATAGATCTTTACATACTAAAATCCGGATATTCAGTGTTGCTTTAACCTGAACGTTTCTTGGATCTTACCTCGTGTCGAATTGTTTTAAACTTAAATTTCAATAATCCTACAGCAGATATTTTACCAACTTTTGTTACAAATCGAGCCAGTGAAAATCATAATTCAAAAATGATTTGAACCCAATCATACAAAGTCTAATTGCATTCAGACTATTGTTCTTGTCTTTATTATCCCAACATTTCAACTGTTGTGTCGTCCAGCCTTCTTCAGGGTTCTGTCAGTCTGTCAGTCTGGAAATTTCAAACAGAGCCCTTTATTTAATCTATGGGAGTATAATGTGTAAATTTAGACTTGGGGAAAACAAAGGCAAGCAATATTGGATCATTACTAAATGAGATAATGATATCCCTAGATATACAGCAAGATGAGAATTTACCCCTTCCCCAACTGTCAATTTCCCTCAGCAATTCACTTTTGGGGAGGTTTCAGAAATAGACCCTAATTCTTCTACAATATGATAGGTACAGTCTGATGGCCTCCTGAAACTGAACTTAGGTTAATTTCTGCCTGGGAGCCAAAAAATGTCAGGAAGCAATGTTCACTGCCAAAAGCACACCTAGGAGACCAGGGAGGACATGACAGCAATTTCTTTTCTCTACCCTTTCTATCAAATATGGCTTCTTATTTGCCTTCTACTAACTGATTTCTGTTTTTGCATCATTTAACTTGCTTTTAAATCCACTCCTCAACAAATGCGCTTTGGTTGCCCTGTGCCAGACTGTTAAGTAAATATCATTTGACCTAATTTTGAATTTGTAAAGGTTTTCATAGATAATTACGCCTGCAGCAATTAAAACACTGACCTTTTCTTTGTAACGACCATTAATCGATCAGTATTTATACTAGTCTATTTTTTCTTGATACATGTGTGTTCAGCGTGATAGTTATTGGTGCTTAAAGTGGAATAGGTATGCCATGTTCACATCCTGACCAAATCAGTTTTGTTTACATTGCACTGATGACCTTTGAAAAGGCATTAATTCATCCTCCTCCAGTTATGGGTTAAATAACCGGGCAAACGGCTTTCTTGCTTTGAGCGTCAGCTGGTCTAGGAGAAGGAACATTCTGATGCAAACACTTGTAATTAAGAGGGTAAATTCGGCTCTTTAGTCTTTCGGTACAAGTCATGAATTCAAAATCAGCCTGAGGAAAGATGGATCACATCACGTTATCTTGCTCACTGATGCTATGAATGCAGTACATTTGTTTTCATAACCCTGGTTGATTGTTACTCACGATCATGATTTTTGTTAATAGAAAAGATGGAATGTGTTTATCATTTAAAACCTTGATGGATATATAGGAAAATGTTAAAATTTTATCTCAATGTTAAATATGACTGTTTTTGGAAATATTTCTGTTATTAGTTTGTCTGAGTTTCTTAAATGTGGAGTTATCATTATTTACACCATTTTTATTCGGACTGGTGTGATGACGACAACAAAGATGAGGATAATGGTACGAATGTAAACAGTATAAATAAATACTTAATGTTTAAAGAAAAAGGGGTCTAATGCTTGTTTTGTGTTTGTTTTGGGTTTTTTTCTCATTTTTTTTCTAACATTTTAGTATAAATTCCTACCTGAAATTACAGACGATAACTTAAGATCTTTATAAAAAAAAAACCTTTATGACAATAGAGAGGCAGGAATAGTAAAAATAGAAATATTGCTAAGAGCGAAAAAAGGATAAGTAATGGCGAGCCATGATCGCTAACGTCTTGAACTGGCACATAGAAGAGCAATGATGCCTTAGTCTCTTTGAGTGTTCTCATTGTAAACCTCATGGATGTATACTGGCATCTCTTCTACTTTGAAATTGAAAGAGATTGCTGTCAGTTGATTTGTCAAATTCTTAATCTTGCTATTGTCTGTTCAAGGATAAATATATCTCTTGTAAAATTCAGAATTTGGTGTGAATCAAATCTGAAATATAAGAAAGCAGATGTTGGCAGATCTACCTAAGATCTACCACGTAAGGCCTCCATAAGATATCTCTACCGTGCTCTGTCAGCAACTGCTGCTGGTGCCTCACCCACGGGTCACCAACCAATTGCTTTCTCCGCCATGACGTTCTCATTTTTTCTCCTTTTCTCTTCGGGAGCTCCAGGAAAGCGCTATATTGCAGGCGTTGTTTGCACCTTGTCTAGAGAATCCTTTAGCTGTTCTTAGGTGAATAAGATAGGTGAATAAGCTTATCTCCCTGCTTCAACCAGCCAAAAGCCACTCTTGACTTTTACCACTCTAGTCTTTCATACCAATAAGCTTGTCATCTCCCTGATTCATTTTATGTCTTACAACTGTATAGTGAAACGGCCAAGGTTGTATAAGTCTGATCTTGGCGCTTTTGCTTATCTTGATCGTATTCCACACCTGCTACCACCGACCAAAAGCCGCCCTAGCCTAATACTACCAACTTGTTTTAAAATTTTGCACTCAGACAAAACTTTACTTCTTCTAGTTGGGTGACACGGTTTTGCTAAAAAGTCCTACGCAAGAGTTTATTGATCTATTTGCTTTCTTATTGTGAAAGTTATATTGACCTCATGCATGAACACATTCAGTGGCATCATACTGTTAATGACAGGAGGATGTTCACATATACACACAACGATCCCACTCATTGGTTGTCAACAGATTAATTCATCATCATTTGCACATTAGTTTGGTTCAAGGCCAAGGAGAGTTCCCTGTTGAAGATATAATTTTTCTTTTCTTGGTTCCAGTATATATTTAAATATAAACTGTCCAATGTACTTAAGCCATTTTAAAAGAATTTTTGTATTTTGTCAGTTCCATACTAATACGCGTATATAGTTTCGCTTATCGTCCGGTTAACATTCCTCATCGGTCTTCTGAACAAGAATAGAGGTTTATCCTTTATTTCTTAATTAGAACTGAGTTCCTGGTTCCTTCTAGTCTGCTTCAGCTCTGTACTCCCAACGCTTTATCTTTCTTAAGCCAATAGAACTCCACTGAGTAAGCCTCTACATTGAGTTACTCTTAGGCCTTGTATTGAGTGAACATTAGTAAAAAAAAAAAAAACATGCCAGATTAATATATATATATATATATATATATTCAACGTATGAGAACCGACATCATAGTGGTGAAGGCTTTGTGCAGAACCATCCACATTTTTCGAAGTTTGTGTATATATATATATATATATATATATATATATATATATATATTCACAATTATGGTAAAGAGGTGCAAGATATATACGGTTATTATTTCCAAAATTTTGCGATCATGTTCAGTTTTTCAGTTCGTATTTCTTTCTTTGGATAGACATGAAAGAACTTCTTTCTCGTCATCATATCTTGACTCTAGAATACCACGACAACTGATAAAGAGTTTAGGTAAGTGAGCACATTAAGAAAACCACTCCACCATAATTACCGATAATAACTAATAATAATTTTATAAATATAAAATAAATATATTTTGCTCATCGTGAACAATGGTTAATACTAAATAGAATTTGTCTGCCTAAGACAATTTTAGCAGAAGCCGTATTTTCTGAAACACTCAGAACGGATCGAACTCTGAGGCGATGGTCTGTGAAATAGGCATATGGGGAACTATCGGTGGTCAAGAACATAAAGTTAAACTCCAGTGAATTCGTTATAAATGATAGAAATATTAATGTAGTAGCCATAATGGATCAAGTTGTATCCCACGATTTCAACATGTCGTTTGTGTATTTGCCTCTCGAGTTCAATTTGCTTTCAAAACCGCAGTTTGGAACCATAATTTAATGTTTTGTAATCCTACTTAGGATGTGCAGGAAGTCTAACGGTTATTGGTGCGTAAAGTGGAAACGGCGTGGCGAGTTCAAATTCTTAGTCTCTTTCGTTTATTTGACAGTAATGTTTTGGTAAAAAACGCATGGACACCTCTTCCTGCGGCTGTATGTTAAATAACATGAAAGACTAACCTCTGCTGTCGTGAATGGCAGCCAGTCTATGAGAAAGAAAACTCTGAATACAAATCCCTGTAAATAATAGAGCATGTTGAGCATTTAGCTTTCGTATGCATTTAGCCTTGGAGAGGAACAATGCTTAATTCAAAACCAGTATGAAGAGGGATGGACTTCGCCGGGTTATTTTATGATATATTCACTGGTCCTACGGCCATTATACCCTTCGGTGCTGGACTCGTGATCGTGAATTCTACTCGTTAAACCAAAAGCTTAACTGTGTTTTGAAACCGAATCGAAGAACTTTTGACAATTTTCGCTATTTTATTTTATTTTTTTTTTTTTTTATAAGGTCATTTCTGTCCCGGGTGTACGCGATCGCGAATCTCCACAGATTTCTTTTGCTTTGTCATTTTTAAATTATTATGATTGAAGGGAGATTTTCCCGTTGCCTAATCCATAGTTTAAGTTTTCCTTCTTTTAGATTAGGCTAGAGAACAGTCTACCTTTCTTTTTAGCCAATAACTAGTTAGAGAAGAAGCATTTATACCATTTTCAATGGCATTTGTTCAAAAGTGAATGCACTTGACTACCTCGAAATTTGAACTCGGCTCTCCTGTTCTTTCTGTGCTAATATCCATTACACTGTCCTTACAGCCTTTTTTCTTTAGTTTGCTGAGCATAAATTTCGATGTATTTTTGTTTTCAGATCCTTACAAATTATTTTCATAAGGCCAATTAAAATGCAGTTAAGACAAATAATTTTCATTTATGATAATAAAATTTCTATTATATAAATTATATTAAAAATCATTCTTATAATAATTTAAAAAATATAGGTTAAAGTATCGAGTTTGGTTTTCCCTTATCTCTTGTGGCCTTGCAGGGGGGGGCATATCCCATTGTTTCTGGATTTAAAAACAACAGTTGCATTTATTTTGCCTTTTTATTCATGATTTGCTGTCGTCCCCAAAAGCTTTGACGTCAAATAAGATTCGAAAAAAGAACGCTTATTTGATTTCAGCTGTAATTTTTTTTCCCACGTCATCTAAAGTTTCCGCTCATAAAACCTTTCGATGGACAACGACTCAGCTGTCGGTCTCCTTCGTTAGGCATTTTACCACCTGTCGTTGCAAATACAGTTAGTCATTATCTCACACACGAAATTATTCTGAGGAAGGATAAAATAAAAATCAGAAAAAAAAGATATGATTTAGATATCAGCTTCTTATATTCTGTTCGTCAAGTGTGAAGACATTTTACCAAATTTATCTGACAGGAAGTAGCCCTCGTGTGGGTGTACTGGTTGTTAAGATACACAGCAGGTAGTTTATTGTCTAAGCTTTCTTAATTTGCATTTGGACTCTACTGAATGAACTAGCTGCTTTTGTATCATGACTCTCCACAACGTCCTCTCATTTATAGCTCCTAGTAATACTTGTGTCGTTACTATCCTTTCCAATCTCTTTTCAGTCATTTCTTTACCAAAGGTCGTTCGGTAGATTACTTTCTGTTTACCAGTGCCCCTCTTTGCTTTCAATTTGTCCTGTGAGTGTCATATTTTCCAAAACTTCTTTCCTCATTGGGCGTCCTAGAAATAAAACCATTTTCTATTCTAAGTATAAGTGTCCTTTTTACTTCAATTTTCCTTAAAACTTCCTCATTATTCACATGGTATTTGCAGCATCCTTCTGCAAAAAGAGATTTATCTTTTCTTCTTCACCTCGCTTACGGCCATATCACGTAGGAACGTCGATTCCTGTACGATCACAGAAGTTAAGCAACATCGAGCCTGGTCACTACCTACATGTGTTGACCGCTTGGGAATACCAGGTGCTGTAAGCTTGGATGTGCGAGTGGTGTAATGGATAATGGCTATATATTGTTAATCGGAGAGCCAAGTTCCAATTCCCGGTGGGTTCGTCATATTCCCTTACACACAAATACCCTTGAGAAAGGTAAGACTCTACCTCTTCTCCCCCATCTATGGGTTAATTAGTAAGACTTGTATCCCTAAATTATTATTATCTCAAAAATTAAATTCTTACAATCTGAAAATATTTACTGGCTTTAAATAACCTGCAAAGGGTGATAAACCGTAGAAAATAAATCGGTGAATCTTCTTCATAAGGGAAAAAATGTCCATCATTATTCCATAGCAGTTCAGCACTTTTCTTTGTTTCTTAATATTTGATTTAGTTTTTGGAATGCATCTTTTGATATTCCAGTGCGTCTTCGGATTTTAGTGCCACATTTTCCGTCCCGTGTTAAAACACTTCCCGGATATTTATTCCTTTTATACTTGCTTGATTTCGACATCTTCAATTTGTATTTCTCACCTTGGCCTGTTTCTTGCTTTTGACCCAAGCCGAATACCCACTCTAGTGAGCTGTGGTGCTAATCTTATATAACATAAGTCCCCTAATATTTTTTTTTTTTTTTTTTTTTTTTTTGCTTTTAAAGATAAAATATATAATCGACAATTTAAACCTAATAAACAATAAATTTCAACGTATTGCAATAATAATGAGGAAGAAGACTTACTCTCCACTCTTCTTTGGCTTCTTTCTCAGAAGTTACGCAACGTCACCAGCCTGTCGCTATTAAAAAAAAAAATTATGAAAGCTTGCAGAGGCTGTGCTCTGGCAGCAAAATTACCTATCACAAAGATAGAACTGCGGCCAAATAGAGACACGCTGTCGTCAAGACTGCATATAGATTTTGCAGGTTCTATGAATGGATAACATTATCTTGTGGTAGTTGATAGTTACACTATATGGCTGGAAATTTATAAGTGCAAAACTCCAACATCTTCCGTGACAATGAATTTCTTGCATGAACTGCTTGCTGTATACTGTTTACTAGATACTATAGTCAATGACAACGGATCAAAATTCACGGGTAAAGAATTCGAAGACTTTTATACGATGATCTCCATTGAATATTTTTCGACCCCACCGTATCACCCAAAGTCAAACGAAACGGTTTGTGGAAACATTCAAAAGAGCGTTGAAGAAAGCAAGTCTTGAAAAAATAAATGAGAGGTAAACATTGTCTGTGTGTTTACTGTATAATACCTGATCCCAATGCACCATTCAGCTGAAGAAAAAAAAAGGTTATTCGATGAAAGACATGAAATACTGGAAGAATCGATAAAAATGTTATGTGATGTTTTTGATGTGCCTTCACCACAACAAATCGTGGAACCTACAAGTTCAAGTTCCAGAAAAAGAAAGCGTACTGAATAACTGGAAGCAGATCCGAAACGGAAAAGCTACAAAATCAAATACTTTGGCGAACTCGCAAGAAATAGGAGGGGGAGATACTAATAAAATATTTGTAAAAAGTATTAATCCCAAAAGGGCGGGTGGAGTAAATAGTACACCCCCCACCCGATGACAACATGAACTAGACCAGGTCATAGGTCAGAAAGAAAAAGCTGTTTGCAGGCGGTCTTCAAATTAATACAGGCAAGTAGCTGAAGCATTACTTATAAGTGCGGCAAAGCGCGTTATAATAGTTACTTAGACAATATCTCTGTCTCTCTCTCTGTGTCTGTCCGTGTCTCTCTCTCTCTGTGTCTGTCCGTGTCTCTCTCTCTCTGTGTCTGTCCGTGTCTCTCTCTCTCTCTCTGTGTCTGTCCGTGTCTCTCTCTCTCTCTCTGTGTCTGTCCGTGTCTCTCTCTCTCTCTCTCTGTGTCTGTCCGTGTCTCTCTCTCTCTCTCTCTGTCTGTCCGTGTCTCTCTCTCTCTCTCTGTGTCTGTCAGTGTCTCTCTCTCTCTCTCTGTGTCTGTCCGTGTCTCTCTCTCTCTGTGTCTGTCCGTGTCTCTCTCTCTCTGTGTCTGTCCGTGTCTCTCTCTCTCTCTGTGTCTGTCCGTGTCTCTCTCTCTCTGTGTCTGTCCGTGTCTCTCTCTCTCTCTCTGTGTCTGTCCGTGTCTCTCTCTCTCTGTGTCTGTCTGTCCGTGTCTCTCTGTGTCTTTCTCTCGCCAATATGAGTTTTTTCCCCGCCAAAGAAACTGTCATTAAGTTGCCGTATTTATTTCCCTCACACTATTTCAAGTAACTTCTACAGAATATTGTTTTTGTTTTGCCTTTAGTGATTTCAAACTGTATCTACAGTGTATGTACACACGCACTAATATATATATTTATATATATTAGTGCGCGAGTGTGGTGGAATAAATAGCGGCTCTAAATGAGAAATCGGATAGTCCAGTGCGTTACATTCACTTATTCGTAAATATCCCTTGATTAAAAAAAAAAAAAAAAAAAAAAAGGTATGAATCCACCTGTTACACTCCATCTATAGGTTAAATAGTAGAACAAATTAGGTCTCTGTTGTCAACCAGTAGAGGCGGGGGTGGTAATAAATGTAAATTCAAAATCAGATAAGGGCTGTTTGGAGACCTCGTGGCAGACTATGTACAGTTGTTCTCTGTATTCATTTGTTCCGAGAAAAGAGTGACCGGTTCTGTACATCCCTTCACCGCTATAATCAAATAAAATATATATGCGAGTTAGTCTGGCTGTTCATTTCTAAGAACGGAACTGTTGGATCTTCAAACGTCAAAAAACAACGGCAGTGTCCATCTTTATATAGTGTAAAATTTCTATATTTGGGCGGGAAATGTGCGCCTCCCAATATAAAACGGTTAAGGCGCCATGTAATGTTGATTTGTTTGTTTTTTCTAATGCCCACACACCTCTCTCACTCACACAAACAACAAACTAACTAACTAACTAATATATATATATATATATATATATATATATATATATATATATATATATATATATATATATATATATATATGTGTGTGTAAAATGTATAATAGCATCCGAAATAAAAAAAAAATGAGACAAGTATGTAAAACAAAAAAGGACTCTAGTACATGTATATGCCTGTGTGGATGTATATGTAGGCACACGTATATAAAAATGTGCATCTAAAAATAATAAAACGTCTCTGATATATGAGAGAGAGAGAGAGATAGATAACTCACAAGTACAGAGACATACAGACTATCCTCAAGTCTCAAGCCAGAAAGTGATAAGGTGGAGTAATTAATGTGATTTACGGCAGCTAACTTATCCTCAGAGATCCCAAACCACTCTCCTAACACACAGATTTGTCTTTCTTTTATTCAAACTGATGACGCCAATGAAAACATGAGCTTTCTCCGGTGAAACACGTCTTTGTTAAAAATTTTCCACTTTATCTCATTATCTTATGTATTTCTTTTATGCTTGGAAATGTGCTCTGAGGAACCAGAAAAAAAATCTCATTCCTGGGGAAATAAAATATAATCTATGGGCCATTAAGGTTGCATGTTTTTTAATTTAACGAATATTCGTCCTGTTTTTACATTGAGATCTCTGGATTACATCCTCCTTCAGGTACTGGGTAGCTCTACCCAGCACATGAAGCTATAATATATATTTATTAGCATATATTTACTAGCTCTGTTGAATTACATCGAGCACTATTTTATTAACACATCGCTCAATGCGCGATATCTTACACACACACACACACACACACATATATATATATATATATATATATATATATATATATATATATATATATATGAAGTCGTGTTAAACATCTGATTAAAACTATTTTGTTGAAAGGGAGTGCGTCCTTAGGTCGGGATCTAAAACTTTTAGCACCTGTTTTTTATATATATATATATATATATATATATATATATATATATATATATATATATATAAAAGAAAGAACAGTAAGATATATAATCCGGTGTTCTTATTGATATTTTTAGTTTTACAAAACAGTGCTCAATGTAAATTTACAGAGTATAAATATTATAAATTAACTGATTTAAAATATGGCTTCTTCGCTACACAGGAATTACCATGTTTCAAAAACCGAAGCTAAAATCTTCAAATTTAATTATATAATCAAATTAAACGCTTTAGTTTTGCTTCATCTTCAAGCGAATTTTGGAATAACTTATTTTAAAATTTACTAAAACTCAGTAAATTTAAAAATAAGTTATTCCAAAATTCGCTTGAAGATGAAACAGAACTAATGCTTTTAATTTAATTATATAATTAAATTTGAAGTTCTTAGCTTCGGTTTTTGAAACATGGTAACTCCTGTGTAGCGAAGAAGCCATATTTTAAATCAGTTAAAATATATATATATTTTACCGCGTGCCTAGAAAATATATAATTTTACAGAAAGCATTTTCTCTGGTGATTGAAATTATTTTGATTTCCTGATGTGACAAGATTAAAACCTGTTTCAAAGCGACTGAATCCGAGATCTCGGCTACTGCGATCCAATGCACTAATCTCTCACCTATCCGTTTATGTATTGAATTTTCAAATCTACCCGCACATTATTGCCTTACCCAACTAGTTGTCTTTATACGTTCACGTATAAGTGAAGAAATGATTAAATAGGGTAAAAACAGGTTTGACGCCAGGGCTTCCAGATTGATGGGCCGGTCAGTCGCTTAACAGACAAAACTAACTTGACGACAGAGACGGCATTCACTGATGGATGCGGAAGTAATCAACGATTCTACACCGTTGTTCTGATTGGTCACTTCTCTCGTTGTCATTTATTGATGTCGCCAAACGACACTGAACAGTCTCTCTCTCTCTCTCTATATATATATATATATATATATATATATATATATTAATTTTTCTCTCTCTCTACCTTTTTGCTATATCTCTCAAAAACTGTTCAATCATCCATTCACTCCAGCTCCAGTGTTGGTTTCCTCTGTTCCACCTGCCTTCAATTTGTCCTGTAAGTATCAAATTTTCCGAGCCCACTTCCCTCGTTATGTGCCAAAAAATGTACCAACTTAAGTGTAAGTATTCTTTTTGTTTCCATTTGTCTCTAGGACTTTGTCATTGCTCTCATGTTTGGTACAAGGTATTCTCAGCATCCTTCTAGAGAATTACATTTTACTGTTGCGGAATTATGGAAATTATAACATTTTTGAGTGAATATCACCAGTGATTATATTTCCAAAGTTTAGCTAACCTCGCATAAAGCTACATTTGGATCCTTCACTAGGGGTCGTATTTATAATAATTTGTTAACAGATCGTAGAACAATCAAAGGGAAATTCAAAAATTAAGATAAAAAGAAAAGAAAATAATCGGCTTAAAGAATTGAAAGAACAGAAATCCAGATCTACTGAAGGATGCTGAGAATACTAGAACTTCTGGAGAATACTGAAACAAAAAGGACACTCTCATTTAACATCAATTGAAATTTCTAGGGCACATAATGACTTAAGAGGGTTTAGAAAATTTGATATCGACTACAGATTGAAGACAAAGAGACAAAGAAAAACAGCGCATAATGTACCTAAATGGATGGCGGAATAAGGTTTAGGAGAGACAACAAAAAAACTATTAAGAGCTATATAAGACAAAAGACTGGAGAGCCATGATCGCCAACGTCCTGATGGAACAAGGCACATTAAAGAAGTATACTCCAATCTGTAGTGAATGTAAATGCTGATCATACGAGGGTTTATGAGTGCATGTTAAAAACTCGAGATGACTGGATCCTGGCAACTGATCTCTCCTATGACCGAGCTCTAACAACTCGGTAGGTAGCGGATGGATAGTTACATTCAATGCCTCGTCAACCAAACTAGTGACGTTTCATCATCGCAGAGCGGGCCCTGAATTTGAGCCTATCGCGATGAACGGGTGTTTTTTTCAGGGAGCGCCTATTGGAAATTAAGCCCAACCCAGACCTCAGGTTGAACTCGTACACACGATCCATTGTTAAAGATGCTGAAAAGATGGTCGATTCCCTGTACCGCTCCAGTAAGTACCGGACTCCTGCTGCTATCCTCTAGATTCACAAGAGCCTGCTCAGACCGAAAATGGAGTATTGCTCTCATATGTGGACAAGAGCTGCCCAGTATTCATTTTCCAGACAAGATAGTCTAAAAGTGTCTCTGCGGCCTTTTGTGTGATGAATTGTATTCCATCCCTACAATCTCTTTCCCCACAGATGAAACGCCGCTTCGTTTCACCAGTTCTAACCTTTACGGCTAAGACCAACGACGCTTCGCACATTGTAGCGAACCCATTTTTATTTCCCTTCGTATTCCATTGGTGAGATGTAGGTACCACTCGTACAACTTCTTTGCACGAGCCGCTATTTCATGGAACCGAATCCCGAGAGAGTGCCTCCCCGATCACTAAACTCTTAACCTGTTCAAGTCTATGATCAACCGTTATCTTCCCCACATATCCTCATAAAGTGTACCTCATACTTTGTAACGCTCTACCTCGGGTGGCTCTTGAGTCTTGTAAAGGCTGAACATTACTGTAAAAAAAAAAAAAAAGAATTGGTCATAGTCTAAATTAGCTTACTAACCGGTATAATACAGCGTGATGTTTCCTTATCCCTGACATCGTGATGTGCTATGTTAAAATCTTTACGTATCTCGTATATTTCAATTCGGAAATTGACCGCGCATCCAGTCACAGAATTGCAATTCCTCTCGGTTATATAAATCATTATCCTGTTTATTGTTGTTATCGTGAAAGTTCTTGGTGAATGGATGTCCGTAGTGTTTCGTTTTGTTTTTTTGTTTTATCTGTTTATGATTTATCAACTCCACTGACATCTCTCCCGAAATGCTCCGGGCACCCAAACAGCAATTATACCAGCAGCGATAACAAATGTAAACATTAATATTTCATTATGGTTTGAAAGAAAAAAAAAAAAGCATAAATACAAACCAGACACACCATTCATACTTTTCCAACATAAAGGCGAATAAAGGAACACCAAACCCAAAACATTAGTAGATCTAAAACTGGAATAATTGGCCATTTTGAAGTGGAATTAACAAAGTTCTCAACAACAAATCATAAGAGAAAAAAAACTAACAGGGCTAAATAATACTAAGCAAACTATAATATATATATATATATATATATATATATATATATATATATATATATATATATATATATATATATATATATAAGATAGAAGTCAACACTTAGAGGCGACAGTCTGTTTCATGCTAGATGCAATCGTCGGGC